ACACACTCCACCGCTCTTCAGTCTACTGCCAGACAACACACTCCACCGCTCTTCCGTCTACTGCCAGACAACACACTCCACCACTCTTCAGTCTACTGACAGACAACACACTCCACCACTCTTCAGTCTACTGCCAGACAACACACTCCACCACTCTTCAGTCTACTGCCAGACAACACACTCCCCACTCTTCAGTCTACTGCCAGACAACACACTCCACCACTCTTCAGTCTACTGCCAGACAACACACTTCCCCACTCTTCAGTCTACTGCCAGACAACACACTCCCCACTCTTCAGTCTACTGCCAGACAACACACTTCCCCACTCTTCAGTCTACTGCCAGACAACACACTTATCCACTCTTCAGTCTACTGCTGGACAACACACTCCACCACTCTTCAGTCTACTGCCAGACAACACACTCCACCACTCTTCAGTCTACTGCCAGACAACACACTATCCACTCTTTCAGTCTACTGCTCAGACAACACACTTCACCACACTTCAGTCTACTACTGTCAGACACACACTCCACCACTCTTCAGTCTACTGCCAGACAACACACTCCACCACTCTTCAGTCTACTGCCAGACAACACACTTACCCACTCTTCAGTCTACTGCCAGACAACACACTCCACCACTCTTCAGTCTACTGCCAGACAACACACTCCACCACTCTTCAGTCTACTGCCAGACAACACACTCCACCACTCTTCAGTCTACTGCCAGACAACACACTCCACCACTCTTCAGTCTACTGCCAGACAACACACTCCACCACTCTTCAGTCTACTGTCAGACAACACACTCCACCACTCTTCAGTCTACTGCCAGACAACACACTCCACCACTCTTCAGTCTACTGCCAGACAACACACTCCACCACTCTTCAGTCTACTGCCAGACAACACACACTCCACCACTCTTCAGTCCTACTGCCAACAACACACTCCCCCACTTCAGTCTATGCCAGACAACACACTTCACCACTCTTCAGTCTACTGCCAGACAACACACTCCACCACTCTTCAGTCTACTGTCAGACAACACACTCCACCACTCTTCAGTCTACTGCCAGACAACACACTTCCCCACTCTTCAGTCTATTGCCAGACAACACACTCCACCACTCTTCAGTCTACTGCAAAACTACTCACTCCACCACTCCTCAGTCTACTGCCAGACAACACACTCCTCCACTCTTCAGTCTACTGCCAGACAACACACTCCACCACTCTTTAGTCTACTGCCAGACAACACACTCCACCACTCTTTAGTCTACTGCCAGACAACACACTCCACCACTCTTCAGGCTACTGCCAGACAACACACTCCACCACTCTTTAGTCTACTGCCAGACAACACACTCCACCGCTCTTCAGTCTACTGCCAGACAACACACTCCACCGCTCTTCAGTCTACTGCCAGACAACACACTCCACCACTCTTCAGTCTACTGCCAGACAACACACTCCACCACTTTTCAGTCTACTGCCAGACAACACACTCCACCACTCTTCAGTCTACTGCCAGACAACACACTCCACCACCACCACTGCACCACTCCCCCTCTTCAGTCTACTGCCAGACAACACTCTCCACCACTCTTCAGTCTACTGCCAGACAACACACTCCACCACTCTTCAGTCTACTGCCAGACAACACACTCCACCACTTTTCAGTCTACTGCCAGACAACACACTCCACCACTCTTCAGTCTACTGCCAGACAACACACTCCACCCCTCCTCAGTCTACTGCCAGACAACACACTCCACTGCTCTTCAGTCTACTGCCAGACAACACACTCCACCACTCTTCAGTCTACTGCCAGACAACACACTCCACCACTCTTCAGTCTACTGCCAGACAACACACTCCACCACTCTTCAGTCTACTGCCAGACAACACACTCCACCCCTTTTCAGTCTACTGCCAGACAACACACTCCACCACTCTTCAGTCTACTGCCAGACAACACACTCCACCGCTGTTCAGTCTACTGCCAGACAACACACTCCACCCCTCCTCAGTCTACTGCCAGACAACACACTCCCACCCACTCTTCAGTCTACTGCCAGACAACACACTCCACCACTCTTCAGTCTACTGCCAGACAACACACTCCACCCCTTTTGAGTCTACTGCTAGACAACACACTCCACCACTCTTCAGTGTACTGCCAGACAACACACTTCCCCACTCTTCAGTCTACTGCCAGACAACACACTTCCCCACTCTTCAGTCTACTGCCAGACAACACACTCCACCACTCTTCAGTCTACTGCCAGACAACACACTCCACCCCTTTTCAGTCTACTGCTAGACAACACACTCCACCGCTGTTCAGTCTGCCAGACAACACACTCCACCCCTCCTCAGTCTACTGCCAGACAACACACTCCACCGCTCTTCAGTCTACTGCCAGACAACACACTCCACCACTCTTCATCTAACTGCCAGACAACACACTCCACCACTTCTTCAGTCTAACTGCCAGACAACACACTCCACCACTCTTCAGTCTACTGCCAGACAACACACTCCACCCCTCCTCAGTCTACTGCCAGACAACACACTCCACTGCTCTTCAGTCTACTGCCAGACAACACACTCCACCACTCCTCAGTCTACTGCCAGACAACACACTCCACCACTCCTCAGTCTACTGCCAGACAACACACTCCACCACTCTTCAGTCTACTGCCAGACAACACACTCCACCACTCTTCAGTCTACTGCCAGACAACACACTCCACCCCTCCTCAGTCTACTGCCAGACAACACACTCCACCACTCTTCAGTCTACTGCCAGACAACACAGTCCACCACTCTTTATTCTACTGCCAGACAACACACTTAATATACATAACATTCACTTTTACTACTGTGCTCTATATATACAGAACAATAAGCTCTAATATCAATCCTACCCTAAAACACCTTCTTAATAGATGGCACAGAACTCATAAACATAATAGTAGACACAAAAATCTCTATGGCATTCCCTGTGTCCGACTTAATCTTTGTAAGAACTCATTGTGCATATAAGGACCCTTCACCTAGGGAAGCCTGGAGAGGCCTGAGGTGGCCTGGGAAGGCCTGTGGGGGCCTGGGGAGTCCTGAGGTAGCCTGGGGATGCCTGAGGCAGCCTGGGGAGGCCTAAGGCAGCCTGGGCAGGCCTGAGGCAGCCTGGGGAGGCCTGAGGTGGCCTGGAGAGGCCTGAGGTGGCCTGGGGAGGCCTGAGGTGGCCTGGGGAGGCCTGAGGCAGCCTGGGGAGGCCTGAGGCAGCCTGGGGAGGCCTGGGGAGGCCTGAGGCAGCCTGGGGAGGCCTGAGGCAGCCTGGGGACATGACTATTGAGGAAATGTTGTCTTAGTGCCAGCAGTGTGTACAGTCTTTATGGACTAGTTGTGATAGCTGAATGGGCAGTTTCTTGTGCTCACCTGATAGACTGGAAGACATACTAAGCAAATAGCCAAGGATTTGGACGACTGGAAACCAATGGAATTAGCTTAAAATAGGAATCAAAGAGGACAAAATTGCTGACATGTAAATTTCTGGTGCATAAGTTTGCATCTGCATAATTCCCTAAGTTTTCCACCAAATTTTGTATATTTGATGTTGTTACCTTCAAAAAAGAAACTTTCTCAAATCTCAGATGTTTTTTGGAGGGGGGGGGGGATTTTTTTTGGACACTGAGAGCAAGTTTCATTTCAGGGACAAGAAAATGAAAGTTTTAAGGAACTTGAAGGAACTCAAAGGAATTTGAAGGAACTTGAAGGAACTTAAATTATAAACACAGTTCACTAAACTGCTGCTTTAATATTACTGAACTTGAGTTTACAACGAACTTTTACAAAAATCGACTTACATATATACTTGACTTAATATAGTGGTATATACACACACACGAGGGAGTCCCAGGTAGGGGGGATTATCCTTGTAAATCCCACCAGGGATTATTGATCCTCCTGGTCTATGTTCCAGTCTTGTACTTCACTGGTAAAGCACTTCTTGGGAGGTTTACGCTCTGTGAAACCAGCGTTCATGTTCTTCGCATCGCGAACGCGTCCGTAGGGGGTCCGTTTGTCGCCTGGGGGCGGCAGCTCGACTCCCCGCAGAGACAACTTGGCGAGGACAGGACAGTCTATCAACTACCTTAAGAGTACTGCAAAATAAAGGTGATACATCTTTAAACACTGAGTGGAGAAATGTGTTACTGTCAGACTGTGCTTATAAAGCTCCTCTACATAGTCACCTTTTATAAAGTGCCCCTATATGGTCAGTTCTCTTATAAGGCTCCTCTATATAGTCAGATCTCTTATTTATAATGCTCCTCTGTATAGTCAGTTCTCTTATGAGGCTCCTGTATATACAGTCAGTTCTCAAATATTATTATTCTTGTTACAAAGAAAACTAAGCACTAAACCCACAAGGGTCATAAAGCACTGCAGACTATATGAAGACGAGAGTCAAGAGTGTGTAAGTCACTGAGAGTCAAGAGTGTGTACGAGTCACTGAGAGTCAAGAGTGTGTACGAGTCACTGAGAGTCAAGAGTGTGTATGAGTCACTGAGAGTCAGGAGTGTGTATGAGTCACTGAGAGTCAAGAGTGTGTATGAGTCGCTGAGAGTCAAGAGTGTGTAAGAGTCAGTAAGAGGAATGGAAGTCATAAGAAGCATAGTATAAATAAAGTCAGTGTAATAAATCAGTCACTGACTTAAAGAGGAAATCTGTGTTAAAGCTGGGGTTGTCGGCAATGATGTCAGGTGACGTGTGTCTCATATATCAGGTGACATGTGTCTCGTACGTTAGGTGATGTGTGTTTCATATGTCAGGTAACGTATGTCTTGTACGTCAGGTGACGTGTTTCTCGTACATCAGGTGACCTGTCTTGTACGTCAGGTGACGTGTGTCTCATACATCAGGTGATGTGTCTCGTACGTCAGGTGACGTGTGTCTTGTACGTCAGGTGATGTGTCTTGTACGTCAGGTGATGTGTGTCTCGTACGTCAGGTGACGTGTGTCTCGTATGTCAAGTGACATGTGTCTTATACGTCAGCTGACGTGTCTCGTACATCAGGTGACGTGTGTCTCATATGCCAGGTGATGTGTCTCATACGTCATATGAAGTGTGTAATCATACATCAGGTGACGTTTCTCATACATCAGGTGGCGTGTATCTCATACGTCGTGATGCGTGTCTCATACGTCAGGTGACGTGTCTCGCATGTCAGGTGACATGTCTCATACATCAGGTGACATGTCTCATATGTCAGGTGACATGTGTCTCACACATCAGGTGACATGTGTCTTGTACATAAGAGACACATCTCATATGTCAGAGTGAGACATGTCTCATACAAAGGTGGGAGAGTGTAGTCTAACACAGCAATGACAAAAAGACCAGAAACACAAACAAGGTTTGACACAACACAATTTAAATAGATCATCTCGGACCACCATTGTTGCCAACAGTTGTAAAGTTGTCTACTCTGAGAATGGAACACCACTGTATGAAACATCATGAACTGCTGACCATGCAACAGAGTTTGCCTGCTGCTGACCATGCAGCAGAGTTTGCCTGCTGCTGACCATGCAGCAGAGTCTGCCTGCTTGTTGACCTGAACGTCCACATGTCCAGGGACCCAGTAAGACCCAGGGGAACCCAGTAGGACTCAGGATACAGTAGGAACCAGTAGGATCCAGCAGGACCAAGTAGGACCCAGCAGAAAATGACTTTGTGTTTACAAGTACGTAATGTGACATAACCAAAGTTGTGCATATAGAACAACGGGATGAAAAACAAATATCTGGATAGCCTATAATGCAGTAGTCTAAAGCTACTACAAATGTTGAGGTAGGAATGCAACAAGCACAACAGCCATGAGACTGCATACAACATAGCTGTAGAAATGTCAGCCGAGTCAAATAAGTGACCTCGTACAACACTGTCCAGAAAAATTGCTGCAAACCCGACACTATCAGAGGATTTAGAACCACCAGTGTAAACTACAGCCTCCCCTCACTTAACGATGGAGTTCTGTTCCTAAGACCACATTGGTAAACGAATTTGTCGCTAAGCAAGGAGCATACAGGTCGACCATCACTAATCCGGCAATCAGTTATCCGGTTCCATCAGTAATCCGGCACCAATTTCGGCTGGCATAATTTCAAATTTCATCATTATACTGACTCAGAAATTGTGCAGATGGTTATAAATCCACAGCAACAAGCCAGTGGAGGAGAAAGCAGTGATGAAAATGAGGAAGATATAGCAGAAAGTTAATTAAGTGTATTCTAACATAACCACTGTGTAATCCAGCAAACTCACTAATTCAGCACACTACAGGTCACAAAGATGCTAGATTAGTGATGACCGACCTGTACTATAATGGTAGTGAGTTTGTGTCAACCATCTTTGATATTGTTATAATGTCACCTTTGCACCATTTATAACATTTTTAGTATATTTTAAAATGTTTTTACAGTAGTCTGCTGTATAATGTAATAAATAAAAATAGAGGAAATCAGTCATAATATACATTATTTAGGTATGCACACTGGTCAGAGAGCCCGTCGTAAGTCCGAGTCTTTGGTAAACAAGTACATTGCTAAGTGAGGAAAGGCTGTACAATGACATGAGAATGAGATTGCAAATGGTTAAGAAAAAGTTAGTGAGAAGCTACAGTACATAACTGAGCTTTCTTCATGGAAGTGAAAAGAACAGACAAGAATCAATGGAACTTCCCAAGGGGAAAGAGAAAAATAGGAAGCTGGATGGATAGAGTAAATAAGAGTGAATATAAAGAAAAAGGATGTAGTAAAGAGCAGCAGCAGAGAACTTCTACTAATGTGTTACCATTCTGTATGTTGAAGGATCATGAAGGTGATGAGAGACAACAAAATAAGAGACAATGGACATCACATCAACCTTACAAAGATGGAAAATTCACCTCTGCATACAGACTCTCGATCAGGGAGGAATAGAAAGTAGCTTGACACAAATGCAACACTTAATGATGAATGGGATCCAGTTTTGTGGAAGAAGCTGCAGAATATATTTGGTCACCATAATCCAGTTTTGATAAGATTAGAGCAGAATGAAGATTTAGAGTTAATTTATCAGCCGTCCAAGAAAAATGGACGAGTTTTAAGGAGGCTCAGCTGGCTATGGCAAGTTGCTTGCAGAGAGATTATGTGAGGTTTCCAGGACATCCAGAGACCAAATAGAAGGCTCGTTTAGGTATATGGGAATTATGCAGGTATAACGCGACATTAGAGACAATACAGCATCCTGTAAAAGTTATCCAATGTGTTTTAGCAACAGAAAACTTACAGCCATGAATAGTGGCCGAGTGGAACACACAGTTGATGGCATTCAGGAGAGAGGCTGCTACCAGGTAACAGTCAGTGCCTGCACAACCTACAGCAAAGTCAACATAAAGTGACAACCAAATATTAGATGGGAGAACAGAGGCAAGATCACTGACAGTCCCTGAACAGTCAATATAACTGATAGTCCCTAAGTAAAGGTAACTGATAGTCCCTGAACAGTCAACATCAGTGATAGTCCTTCAAGTCAAGGTCACTTATAGTCTTTGAACATAGTCAAGGTCACTGACAGTCCCTGAGGGATACCTTCAGCCTGGAGAGTCAGGGAAAAAATTATTAACTCAGACACAGAAATGTTTCTCAGACAAGAAATTCTTAGTGGAAAGCAGCAGTGTCTTGTAGGCCTAAGGAATGAGCTTAAGTCCAAATGTTATAAGTGTCAGAGCTGAGTGGAGGAGCTTATGAGAGAGCTGATAGTGGAGGAGCTTGTAACAGCTGATAGAGGAGGCTATAAGAGCTGATAGTAGAGAAGCTGATAGTAGGGTAGCTTATAACAGAGCTGAGAAGCTCCTAATAGAGCTGACTGCCGAGTATTGTTATCTGCCCACCACAATGGATAAATATTGAAGGGAATTATCACAGATTTATGTCAGGGGTCAAAGTTCTCTGGTGCGAACATTCGAAAAATTCGTGGGGGGGGAGCGCTAAACCCCTAGGAGTCGTGTGGCGCCTGGGGTGGGTGGGTGTGGGGCATGGGAGGAAATCAGGTACGACCCGAGGTTGTACCCGTCACCTCGAAGGTTGTGGAACAGTCTGTGAAACAAAGTAAACATTCGTACACATTCTCAGTGTTCGTACACGTTCTATGCATTCGTACACGTTCTCTGTGCTGGTACATGTTCTCTGTGCTCATACATGTTCTCTTCATTAATATTATCTAAAATAATTGTCTCTAGGGCGCACTAAACACGAACAGAATCGGCACTTTCAAAATTAGTTAAAATAGATTTAAAAATAGAGATCCTCAATTTACAAACAAACTGCTGGTGTTCCAGTTAACAAACACATTGCTGGTGTTCCAGTTAACAAACACATTGCTGGTGTTCCAGTTAACAAACACATTGCTGGTGTTCCAGTTAACAAACACATTGCTGGTGTTCCAGTTAACAAACACATTGCTGGTGTTCCAGTTAACAAACACATTGCTGGTGTTCCAGTTAACAAACACATTGCTGGTGTTCCAGTTAACAAACACATTGCTGGTGTTCCAGTTAACAAACACATTGCTGGTGTTCCAGTTAACAAACACATTGCTGGTGTTCCAGTTAACAAACACATTGCTGGTGTTCCAGTTACAGTTAACAAACACATTGCTGGTGTTCCAATTTACAAACATATTGCTGGTGTTCCAATTCACAAACACATTCTGGTGTTCTGATTTACAAACACATTGCTGGTGTTCCGATTTACAAACACATTCTGGTGTTCCGATTTAAAACATTTGTGTTGCTGGTGTTTTGACTTACAAAACGTGCAATGCTTGTGTTCCAGTTGACAAACAAGTTGTTTGCACACACAGAACAAAGGACGGTTATTTGTCTCCCACATCCAAACAGCACCTCAGCGCTTTTAAAAATTAAACCGTGCCTAACCGCTATTAATAAGCGCCGATCTTATGTTCTTAAGCGCAAATCTTATGGCTGAAAGCATAGATCTTAGGTTCGTAAACATAGATCTTATAGTTGTAAGTGCAGATCTTACTGTAAGCCAGGTCTTACTGTAAGCACAGATCTTACTGTAAGCGCAGATCTTACTGTAAGCACAGATGTTTGTAAGTCGAGGATCTGGTTAATAGTCACACTACCACCCCACACTAAGATTTTTCTTCCTCGTCCTCCGCTTCTGAGTTTGTGTCACTTTTCTCGCCATTCTCAACCTCCCTTGTGCTCAGATTCTGAGCATCTGCTCCTTGTGCGTATGTGGCGGGCTCGAAATCCCGACTCAGGTTCTCTGGTGTGTCTTGAGTCCTCTCGCTGTGGTGGCTCTCTTGATTCCAGTTTAGCGGCAAATCCAGGTGAGCAGCATACGGGTCGTGGCTTCCCCTAGCTTCGATCTCCCGAGCTAACCGCTCGGCCTTCATTTGTTTTAAGAGGTAGAGTTCCTCCTTTGAGAGCCCAGACTGTTCTTTCAGTTTCTCCTTACGGAGGTTCAGTCCACGTTCAATCTCAGTCGATGCATCAGGTCTCTCCATCCTGCTACGGTTATCCTCCCTGGTGTCACGAGGTCGTCGCTGGTCCTGTTTCCACTTGCTGCTGCTGCTGGTGCTGCTGCTGATGGTGGTGGTCGCTGCCTGGTTGACGTGCCGTGAGGTGCCAGCCATGGACATTATGCTAGCAGGAAGGCCGTTAAGGATGGCGCTTGAGACGGCCGATGACATGGAGGGTAACTGGAAGGAGCCCAGACCGCCGAGCCCCATGGGTGGGTACATCAGCCCAGCAGTGCTGGCACCACCGAACATTCCTGGAAACTGCAAATTAGCCGCCGAAGTGGCAGCGGCGTTTCTGTGGTCCTTGCTCTTGGAGGTCGATGGAAAGTCATTGAGGTTTGTCAAGCCAGGTAACCCATACCCAGCCAAGCCACCCAACAGAGGATTTGCCATTGCTAATCCAGCCATACCTGGCAAGCCACCAAAGCCAGCCATCATCATCATGCTAGGATCCAAACCCATACTGGCCAACAACTTAGAGTCCAGACCACCAAGAGCCTTGGGATCCAATCCTCCTAGAAGCTTCGGATCCAAGCTCGCCAACAGTTTGGGATCAATACCGCCAAACATCATAGGATCCAAGCCAAGCATCTTGGGATCTAAATACATCATCTTGGGATCCAATCCTGCCAGTAGCTTAGGATCAAGACCTCCTAGTAATCTGGGGTCAATCCCACCTAGTAATCGTGGATCCAGGCCACCAAGCAATTTAGGATCCAAACCTCCAAGCAATTTTGGATCTAGGCCAGCTAAGAGCTTGGGATCTAACCCTCCTAGTGATCTTGGATCAAGACTGCCAAAGAGCTTGGGATCAAGGCCTGCTAACATTTTAGGATCATGACCAGCGAGGAACTTAGGATCAATTCCAGTTAGGGATTTAGGATCAAGACCAGCCAAGGGCTTAGGATTCACTCCTGCCATAGCCTTGGGATCCAGTCCACTTAAACTTGCAAGCAACTTGGGATCAAGGGAAGCTAATGTTTTGTGATCCAATCCTGCTAACAACATTGGATCAAAGCCTAATAATTTAGGGTCAATATTGAGTAGGGAGGATTTTGAGTCAGAGCTTCGAGAAGAGGAAGGTTTGACTTCCTTCTCATGGTGTTTGGCAGCCTCGTGATGCTTGGCATCCAGTCCCATTAGTTTAGGGTCTAGACCCATAGCTGCTAGTACCTTAGGGTCTAGTGGGCCCATAGCTGCTATTAACTTAGGGTCTAATGGAGGTAGCAGCTTTGGGTCCAGTGGAGGTAGCAGCTTTGGGTCTACACTGAGAGCCTTTGGATCGAGGCTTCCTAGTAGTTTAGGATCAAATCCCAAGAGTTTTGGATCTAAACCAGCAAAAGCTGCAGCATTTAGAGAGGTCTTAGGGTCTGGCACTTGGAGGCTCTTGGGGTCATATGGCATACCTCTGAAGGAGTGGTAGGAGGGAGGGAGGGCACAGGTGCTGCCCCGGGCTGCCGAAGTGGACGTGGTTGTGGTGTTGGACCCAGATGGCAGGAACTGTGGCGACGTCATGGTGCTGCTGGAGTAGGTGCTGCCATGAAGGTAGTTGGACATCGAGGCAATGTAGGAAGCATGGCTGGCACTGTGCTTTCTCTCAGCGCTTGCTAGTTTCTTGTGGTAATCAGAGAGGAACGCAGCACTGCTGGTGTTGCTACTACTACTACGCTCCTTCACAATGTCTGCCCACTGGGGGTCCACATCGTAGTTAGCATGCTCCATCAGCCACTGCGCCAAGTACTTCAGTTTAGGGGCATCCTGCCCACTTATCTGCAAAAACAAAAATGCATTACTATACAAGCTGAAGATTCATGATAGGAGTGAGTGGAAGGAAGTGGGTTTTGTGATTTGGTGTGCTGTTGGTGTCTGAGCAAAGTAATATGCAGGGACACTGGGAAACTGGTTAGGTGGACTTGGTTCCTGGAGGTGGGAAGTACAGTGCCTGTACCCTGAAGGACGGGTAGTGGTGGTAGTGAGTACAGTGCCTGTACTCTGAAGGATGGGTAGTGGTGGTAGTGAGTACAGTGCCTGTACTCTGAAGGATGGGTAGTGATGGTAGTGAGTACAATGCTTGTACTCTGAAGGATGGGTAGTGGTGGTAGTGAGTACAGTGCCTATACTCTGAAGGATGAGTGGTGGTGGTGGTGGCAAGTACAGTGCCTGTACTCTGAAGGATGAGTGGTGGTGGTGTTGGTATCTTGCCTGTACTCTGAAGGATGGTGGGGTGGTAATTACAGTGCCTGTACTCTGAAGGGAGTGTGTAGGAATACAGTGCCTGCACTCTGAAGGATGGTGGTGGTGGAATTACAGTGCCTGCACTCTGAAGGATGAGTTGGTGGGTGGAAGTACAGTGCCTGCACTCTGAAGGATGAGTGGTGGTGGGAAGTACAGTGCCTGCACTCTGAAGGATGTTGGAGTGGTGACGGTGGGTGGTGGAAGTACAGTGCCTGCACTCTGAAGGATGAGTGGTGGTGGGAAGTACAGTGCCTGCACTCTGAAGGATGAGTGGTGGTAGGAAGTACAGTGCCTGCACTCTGAAGGATGAGTGGTGGTGGGAAGTACAGTGCCTGCACTCTGAAGGATGAGTGGTGGTAGGAAGTACAGTGCCTGCACTCTGAAGGATGAGTGGTGGTGGTGGGAAGTACAGTGCCTGCACTCTGAAGGATGAGTGGGTGGTGGTGGGAAGTACAGTGCCTGTACTCTGAAGGATGAGTGGTGGTAGGAAGTACAGTGCCTGCACTCTGAAGGATGAGGGGGGTGGTGGAAGTACAGTGCCTGTACTCTGAAGGATGAGTGGTGGTGGTGGGAGTACAGTGCCTGTACTCTGAAGGATGAGTGGGCAGTGGGGAAGTACAGTGCCTGCACTCTGAAGGATGAGTGGTGGTAGGAAGTACAGTGCCTGCACTCTGAAGGATGAGTGGTGGTGGTGGTGGGAAGTACAGTGCCTGCACTCTGAAGGATGAGTGGTGGTGGGAAGTACAGTGCCTGCACTCTGAAGGATGAGTGGTGGTAGGAAGTACAGTGCCTGCACTCTGAAGGATGAGTGGTGGTGGTGTGGAAGTACAGTGCCTGCATCTGAAGATGATGGTGGTGGTGGGAAGTACAGTGCCTGCACTCTGAAGGATGAGGTGTGGTGGTGGAAGTACAGTGCCTGCACTCTGAAGGATGAGTGGTGGTGGTAGGAAGTACAGTGCCTGCACTCTGAAGGATGAGTGGTGGTGGTGGGAAGTACAGTGCCTGCACTCTGAAGGATGAGTGGTGGTGGTGGGAAGTACAGTGCCTGCACTCTGAAGGATGAGTGGTGGTGGTGGTGGGAAGTACAGTGCCTGCACTCTGAAGGATGAGTGGTGGTGGTGGTGGGAAGTACAGTGCCTGCACTCTGAAGGATGAGTGGTGGTGGTGGTGGGAAGTACAGTGCCTGCACTCTGAAGGATGAGTGGTGGTGGTGGGGAAGTACAGTGCCTGCACTCTGAAGGATGAGTGGTGGTGGTGGTGGGAAGTACAGTGCCTGTACTCTGAAGGATGAGTGGCAGTGGGAAGTACAGTGTCTGTACTCTGAAGGATGAGTAGTGATGTCACAGTTCAGAGTGATATCAACATATTTCCGTCAATCCAGTCACTAGATGAATGATGGTGGATGTATTTATTCTTCGTGGCATCAGTCTCCCTCAGTGACAGACAGACAGTGTCTTCAGGACAGCACTTCAGGGGAGTGCACAACCAGTGCCAAGGACTGCCACTTGCAATGGTCATCTAGAGAGTGCCATACCGTTGTTTGGCACCAGTTAGTGTCAGAGCTATGGTTTTCCAGCCTGGTAGCCTGGTCTGGGGTCAGGATTTGCTACCAACTGATCAGATGGGCTGTTGCTGTTGGTAGTCTGCATTGCAGGCAAGTATGTTTATCACAGTAATAATAATAATATAATAACAACATTATTTCTACAAGTACATGTACAAGGTATACAAGTACAGGTACAAGGTATACAAGTACATGTACAAGGTATACAAGTACATGTACAAGGTATACAAGTACATGTACAAGGTATACAAGTACATGTACAAGGTATACAAGTACATGTACAAGGTATACAAGTACATGTACAAGGTATACAAGTGCATGTACAAGGTATACAAGTGCATGTACAAGGTATACAAGTACATGTACAAGGTATACAAGTACATGTACAAGGTACACAAGTGCATGTACAAGGTATACAAGTACATGTACAAGGTATACAAGTACATGTACAAGATATACAAGTACACGACTCAAGAAATCGTAATGACACGATTGCAAATAAACCATACCCCGACGGGCTGGAGTTTTGAGACTCTATGACCGTATGTACATGTACAAGGTATACAGATCATAGCTGACATCAGTGACATACTACTATATAGAAAGTCACTTGTTATGCTGAGCATTTCCCGCAAATTAGGTCAGTTTTGTCCCAGGATGCCACCCACACCAGTCCACTAACACCCAGGATGTGACCCACACCAGTCCACTAACACCCAGGATGTGACCCACACCAGTCCACTAACACCCAGGATGTGACCCACACCAGTCCACTAACACCCAGGATGTGACCCACACCAGTCCACTAACACCCAAGTACCCATTGGGTGAACATAGACAACCTGTAAGGAAATAAGCTTAATGTTTCAACCCTCACTGGGAATTGAACCCAGACCCCTCACTGCGTGAAGCAAGAGCTTTTGCCACCAGGCTATGGGTCTGGTGGTTGATGATAGTATGTTGACCCAGGCTGAGATGACCGCCTATCCTTCCCTCCCTCCATTTCATATTTATACATTCTTCTAGTAATCCCATCTCATGTTCTCTTCTAAACTCTATACAGTGGACCCCCGCATAACGATTACCTCCGAATGCGACCAATTATGTAAGTGTATTTATGTAAGTGCGTTTGTACGTGTATGTTTGGGGGTCTGAAATGGACTAATCTACTTCACAATATTCCTTATGGGAAAAAATTCGGTCAGTACTGGCACCTGAACATACTTCTGGAGTGAAAAAATATCGTTAACCGGGGGTCCACTGTATTCTGAATGCTCTGCATAATAATAATAATAATAATAACAATAATAATAATAATTATTATTTCAGCATGATAGATGTTTGTACAAAGGAGTGTAACAACTGGGTGTACATACCAAAAGCCCCTTTATATGCAGATCATTTCTGGCAAACTTAAGACTAACTTAAGATCAATAAGGCTATAACAGTGCAGTAATTGTACATATGGTCATTAGAATTGAATATTCTATTAGATCATGTTGTATGCCTTTAATAGATTTGGTAAAGAATTATAAACTAAGGTTGACAATGGAATGATTAACATTTGTTTACACATATTGAGAGTAAGTATATATTGATCATAAAGTTTTAACTATGTTCATGGTATTGAGCAAATATAGTTTTTATATATTTATTTATGATGGGCTGGGATAAGTTAAGGAGATAAAGTGTTTTCTAAGTGTAGTTTTAAAAATGCTGAGTCAGTGGTTCTGGAGATTTCTGGCAGAGAGTTCCAGATTTTGAGTCATTTTATGTACATTGAATTTTTGACAAGATTTAACCTGACACAGGGAATGTCATAGAGATTTTTGTGTCTCGTATTGTGTCCACGAGTCTTATTGCAACTGTCAAGAAAGTGCTTCAGGTTGGGATTTACATCAGAATTGACTGTTCTGTAAATGTAGGTGGCTCAGTATTACAAATGAATGTTTTGTACAGCGAATAGGTTTAGCTCTTTGTAAAGTGTGTGTGTGTGGGGGGGGGGGGAGGTTGTTTAGCTGTAGATTGTGTCATCATTCGCACTGCAGCTTTTTGTTGGGTTAGTATTAGCTTTAGGTGATTTGTCATTGTGGAACCCCAAGTACAAATAGCATAGGAGAGGTAGGGGTAGATCAGTGAACAGTATAGCGTAAGTCGTGCTGTTTGTGGTACATAATAACGTATTTTTGAGAGGATGCCAACTGTTTTAGATACTTGTTTTGTTATGTGTTGGATATGGGTGTTGAATTTGAGGTTGCTGTCAAGGTGCAGACCTGGGAATTTTCCCTCATTATGTTTAGCAATAAAGATGCTGATAAGCATAATGTTTAGTTGGACCTCACTTGCTGTACTCCCAAACATAAATTAAAGGTTTTGTCTATATTCAGTATAAGTTTATTAACAGTCATCCAGGTTGCTATTTTTGCAAGCTCTTCATTAAGAACAGTATTGAGTGAGGCTAAATTAGGGTGGCAGATGACAAAAATCTTGTCGTCAGCAAAGAGAACAGGCATAAGTTGCTGTGACACACCTGGAAGGTCGTTGATGTATAAAAGGGAAAGGAGGGGGCCAAGAATGTTTCCCTGTGGTACACCAGTGTCCAGGGGTCTTGTTGAGGAGGTAGTGTCCTTGACAGACACACACTGCTTTCTATTAGTAAGGTACGACTTCATGTATGCAAGTGCATGTCCTCTTATACCAAAATGATCAAGCTTGAGGAATAGGATGCTGTGGTCTACTGTATCAAAAGCTTTCTTAAGGTCAATAGAGAGTCCAAGCAAGTATTCCTTTTTTTCAAGTGCTGTGTAAATTATGTCTAGCATTTTTATTGCATCATTTGTGCTTTTGTTTTTCCTGAGGCCAAACTGGTTGAGGATGCTTTGTGATGTTACGGAGGTGTATAACCTTGTGTGTATGAGATTCTCAAAGATTTTGGAAAGTAAAGGCAGGTTTGATACTGGCCTATAGTTGC